GTCAAGCACACTAACTAAATAATACTGTTGTTACTGCATCCTTCCTTTGCAAAAAGTTTAAAGCAGGCTGAGCACTATGAAAAGCAGCAGCATCAGAGTCTTCTGATACACAAAACATTTAAGTGTGAACCATTTCTTTAAAAAAAACAAAACCAAAAACCAAACCACCACCAACAAAAAAACCCCCACCCCAAAAACCACAGCACACAACATCCCAAATTATAGTTCAGTATTACAATGTATTATTATGTGCAAAACTCACCATTTACAAAATGAAATACAAACATGTGCCAGGGGTTTCAGATACATGGCAAACTGACAAAAATGCTACAGATCTCTGTATGTACAATACACGTGCTGCTTATGACATTTTTGTAACCCTCTGCCTTATGTTACACTGCTTACACTGGACTTGGGGAGAACCCCACGACCCTCTGAAGATCATAGCCCGAATTGACTTAAGTAGGGTCCACAGCATCACCCACAGCATCGGCTACCGTGGACAAATCTATAGAACAGGCACGTTTAATACCATTTTATCTTTGCATACATAGGACTGACTTTCACATCTCACCTACTGAGTAACTCAGAACCGTGAAATGCTGCAACACATTCTTCAGTCCAAGACACGTTTTGATGTTGGTGACAGACTACACAAAATAGTTAGTGTTCTCCTTCACCTGACCGATATATTTAATCCTCCGCTAACACAAATAGTATCTGGGATAGGTGCTGTCAAATCCCTCTGCAAATCTACAATACTGCTTACCTAAAAGTTCCTTAGCAACCTCCTTCGCTTATTTTCGGCAAGGAGCCTGAACCAGCAGACTAACACATTTTAATCCTAAATTAGGTTCTCTACATTCTTTCTCTGCCCCTTCTCTACATCCTTTTCTTTCAGTTTCCTCTTCCGACCCCCTAGTTCTGTCTAACAGAATGCATATAAACAATAATCCAGATAACAGTACATCAAGTTCAGATAAAGGCACTGAAATTGCCAGTGCCAATGTTACAATCTTCTTATAGATAACAGAAGTTTCATAAGAATTCTCCTGTAACAGTAAGAGAAACCACAGAGACTTTTAATGCAATACTCTAAAACCAGCAAGAGATTTATTCTTGTATATTAAATGTTAAAATCACATGCATAATTATAGAATACTTTATAGTTAAAAAAATATTTCAAAAACCAACCCTGACAGTTTACCTGCAACTGCTATAAAATTTCTATGATATATATATAAAAACATGGCAATTTTCTGTAATCAAAAAAAATTAGGAAAGGATGCAATCATCCAGGTAATTAAGAGTTAACTGATGCCCTGCATCGGACAGTCTTGTCAAACTCATGCTGGTGAAACTGAGCTCAAACCAGCCAGTTTACTGAAATACTTGTCTAGCATACATATATTTAAATCAAAATTACATTTGGCTAAAGGATGAGTGTAAGAAAATATATTTTTGCACGCTACAGCAAAAGACCTGCAGAGGACCGCAGTATAATATGCTTCAAAAGAGTCTGTGGTACAAGAGATTCAGCCTCACGGGCTGTTTACTCAAAACACGCCGGTGGAATATTCCGCGTAACTGGCCATATGCATGGTTTACATGGGTTTTTGTAAGCAACGCTAGAAGCGTCTGCGCGTGTTTTACTAGGCAATTGTGATTTAAGACCTGTTTTAGCTCCTAAGGCAGGCAGCCAACAAAGATGTTTTCAACAGTTAACAAGGAGCAGAAATGAAATGACGAGTTGCTGGTTTTAAGAAGATGAGTCATCGTTGTTTTGAAAAATGGCACCATATGGATCACTATTAATGCGCTTGTAGACGAAATGGAAGACCTGGGGTTGCGGACGGCTGTGCAACTCTGCCTTAATTTTCTGAGGGTAGGTATCCTCTGTCAGTTGCTGCCAGGTGTCATCAACAAAAAGGAACAGGCTATATTCTTCAGGATTGTCCACTTTAAACTTTTCAGCACAAAGCTGACATACATCTTCAGTAGTGATATATGGTCTTACTAGTAAGGTCTTTCCTGTACATCCACTGTTAACTTCTTGGAATGCAACTCGAAGGTAGTTCTGTAGAATGAGAAAAGAGATGTCAGAAACTCAAAGAACCAAAACTCATCCTCTGAAAACTGAAGAGTCAGCAACAAGCAGCAAGCCTCTCCATGTCCTAGCTGTGAGACACACACACACACACAGGCGATTCCTGTACATTATGGCCACTTTGTGAATTGCAATGTTGGTGGTAAAACTGTGGCAAGCCAGTGGTGGGCATAACAGAAACCCATAAGCTGACATCCTCCTTTCCTTGGCTAACGGTCTAACCCTGCAATTAACAGCGAACAGATACAACCTTAAAGCCACATGGAAAACGCCAGTGGTTTTAATGGGACTCAATGTTGGGCCTTACTAGGAGACAAAATGCTGTGAAGCAAAATAAACGTCTGAGGCAGCATGCCCAAGAGATGATGCTGCCACTGCTGGGTCAATACTGTAGAACAGAAGCTTCAACATAATATGTTAGTCAGAAAGAAAGAAAGAAAAAAAAAAGTCTCTGCCAGCAGCACACAAGGGTGTTGATCCACAAGTTACTGCATGATAAACTCTTTGCACTCTTATGCTGCAGTATACAAAAGGTAATCTGTCCTCAGGCCGGACTTTTTCATCGTGTTGAATGGTGGCAATTTGGTGTCTGAGCCTAAGTAACCAAGCTTTGTGTGACAGCATTTTCTTTTTTTTTTTTTTTTTTAAATAGGGCTTAAAGGGATGCAGAAAGAAAGTTTACTCTGCAACATTAGAGTAAATCCATATGATCTTGAGGCAGAAGCTAGATCTTTTTTCTCTGTTGAAATTGACACATGCCCACAACTGTGATAACATGGATAAATTCTAAATATGCCCTACAAGGAAATGCAAAGCTTTTAAAAAGTAAAATAAAAAGCAACAACTAGGGGGGGAAAAAAAAGAAAAACACAAAACAAAAAAAACTTGGACATATGAACAAAGCAGCCTGCTGTTACGTGCTTTTTTTTTTTTTTAAAGAAATTAACTGCAATTAAAGACTAAAGAGCAGTAAAATTAAAGGAGCTAGGAAAAATGACAGTGAGAAAGACCTATTTATTGACTGAATCGGTACCTACATTTGTATGCTGAATAAATTAAGCATGCTAAATCACAGTGGTAGAAATTTACATTTCATAAAAACAAGCTGTTAAAAGCTAAGACTGAGAAGAATGTTCATATGACTTAAGTTCCAAAGAGCACTCTTGTCTTTACCAAAGTATTTTTGATGACTTGCAGACTGAAACACTGAAGCTTTGCAACAGGATTTGAACCACTGGGACTGAAAGTGACTGAATAGAACTAATCCATTTTTGTTACCCAGCGTGAAGAATTAGAAAAAAAAAAATCAGCCCTAGATAAGGCAAAACAAACTACAGTTTTAATTTCTAATGTAGTTAACACAAAGATGACCTGTTTTTAAATGCACGTGCTTTTACACAGACAGGATTGTG